ATTCTAATTATTTTTATTAAATACTTTGAAAAAAGTTTATCTTATACAAAACAAATTATTATGAAATTATAATTTTTAATATTTTACCTCATCACAAAATTCATGAAAGGTGAAATTATATATCATTGTAAATTAGAAAATTTTGTTTCTTTTTTTTTTATGTTTTTGTTTTAAATTTATTGTAAAAATATTTTGTAATAGAGAATGGTTTCAAACAAATATAAGGAATTTTATATTAACCTAAAATATAACCTCAAAAACTTTCCCATCCTGTTTTTCATTTTTTTTTTTTTTTATTTAAATTTTGAAAAAAACCATAAGAGTTTTTAAATTTTATAATTATTTTATAACTTAATAATAAAAACTTTAATATTTTTTATAACGGTAACGTTTTTCATGAAAAAAAAACCGCGTGATTCTCATTAAAATTTAAAAAATAATAATAATAATTATAATAATAAAAAACTCATAAACTTTATTAATAATTACGTAAGAAAAAAAAAACTTTTTTGTTACCCCTTAAAAATATAAAAAAAATATAAAAATTTAAAAAATGTTACAAGTTTTATTTTTTTTTTTAATAATAATAATAAAAATAAAAAAATTTAAAACGTTCACATAAAGAAATAAAAATAAAAAAATTGTTTCTGGTGATTTTAATAGTTACCATAGCAACCGGTTCATATTGAAACATGGAGGCTTGTTTAGCTCTTTGGTATATTGCTGGGTTGTATTAAATATTTGTGTTAGTTATTATTTCAATTCGTATTTAGTGTAGATTTTTAATTTTTGAAATGGAGGGAGATCCGAGAAGTCGTAGTTCTACTTTAATTACAAAATATGATATACCCATTGAGCATTTAAGCTATGAATACGTTGAAAAATGTACGGATAAAAAAGAACTTGAAAGAATAATTCGGATTTTAAGGTAATTTTTATTCCGTTTTTTAATGAATAATGTCCGAAATTTATTTATTTATGCATTCGAAAAAAAAAAAACCAAATCAAACATTTAATTATGTTTTTTTTAAAAAATAATTTTACACAAGTTTTTATCTTACCTGTATTGTGTCCTAATCCATGATGAATTTTAACCCCAGGTCCGGCGAAGAAGGATTTTATCCTGATTTATTAAAGGTAACGGAAGATCGTCTTCGTTTGTTTGCACCTGAAAGTAGAGTACTTCGTGTAGAAACTCCTATTTTAACAAAAGATGCTCTAACTAAAGAAGAATGGGAAATTGTTGAAGATGATTTGTTTTCTTGGGAAGAAGAAATGAAAGTTATTGATAAAAGTTTAGATTTTGAAAAAAGTAGAATTGATGTTGTCGGAAATAAAAACATGCCCACTGTTAGAAAAGTGAAAAATAAAATTCCCGAAACAGCTAAGGTTATTATTATTATTTTTAATTTTTTTTATAAAATTCAACGAATAATGAATTTTCATTAGACATTTATTATTTCTAAAATTTATTTATGGTTTTTTTTTTAATTGGAATTTAGACCTTACAAGAAAAAAAGTTTATTACAAATAGTAAAAATGAAAGAATTAGGTCAGGGGATTATGCTGCTTGGGATAAATTCGATGTCGATAAAGAATTATTAAAAATGGATATTGAAGAAGAGAGGAAACAAGAAAAAAATGAAAAAAAAAAAAGGATATATAAAAAGTTAGAAGTTGAAAATAAAATTGAATTAGAAGAAGTTGATAAAGGTAAATAAATTATAAATATAAATTTTTTTGTAATGGAGGAAAAGCGAATAAAACACTACAAAATTTTTTATATTTTTAGATTCTTACTCATCGATGGAACAATCAGTTTTAGCAAATCAAGCCAAAGATAGAGGAAATGAATGCTTTAAATCTGGAGATTACAATAATGCTTTGAAATATTATGAACTTAGCATAAAATTACATGCCACATCAAATGCCTTCAATAATCGAGCCATGACATGTAAGAAATAAAAACCTACTATTAATGATTTATTTATTTTTATTTAGTTTATATAAATTATTGATAAAAATTCAAATTGTGTTCATTTTTCAGATTTAAAATTAAAGCAATATGATAAAGTTATAAGTGATTGTACTGTAGTTTTACGTAATGAAAAAAATAATGTTAAAGCCCTTCACAGGAGAGCTACAGCATATCAGGAATTAGCAACAGAAGATAATAATTACAATCAGGTTTGAACAATTAACAATTTTTTCTCATTCTAGCGGCGGTAAATGAAATTGAAAACTAAAAAAAAAAAAAAAAATTTTTTTTTTTTCATTTCAGCTCGCTTTAGAAGATTTAAACAATATTATAACCGTAGAACCGAATAACAAAATAGCTCAAGCGGATTTTCAAAAATTAAAACAAAAATTAAAAATAAAAGATTTGGGTAAAATGTTTAGAATGCCTATTTTCGAAAGTAATTTAAACTCTATACCTGAAATAAAAGATGAAGAAAATGACGCTAAAGGTTTTTTTTTTTTTTTTTTTTTTTTTTTTTTTAATTAGACGTGTACGTGTGTGTATAAATCCTGCGGTGTGATTAAATGACGTATTTTATTTTATTTTTAGGAATTGTGTCATTGAAAAATCAAAAAATGTACAACGAAAATATTAATAAATTGCCTCTGACTTATTACGGTCCATCAACTTCAACGTTTCAGTGCGAACCCTATAGTTTTACTCACCGAGCTCTCTTGGGATCATTTTTGTCAAACGAAATCATGTGCAAATGTAACAGCAATAGAGAAAAGCAAAATCCATTGTGCCAAAAATGTGGAGAAGCCATGTGCACTCCGAAACCGTCGAAATCTAAAAAAAACACGCAAATAAAAACAATTAAAGAATCGTTTAAAAATACAAAGGAAATGTTAAATTCTAAAAATAATGAAAAAATTACCGACGATGAAAATGATAAAAACGTTGAATCCGCACGCGAAGTCTCGGATTCCAAAGCTACGAAAGAAATTAGCAATAAGAATACAATTATTTCATCAATAGACAATACCAATAAATCATTCATAGGCGCCGGAGATGGTGTAAATTCGGAGAAAAATCGTTTAAACGCAATAATAAAAGATGAAATGATTTCAACGGATGACGTAGAATGTAAAAAAAAAATAACGGAGAATAAATGTACGTTTAAAATAAGCGAACTGAACGAAACGGATGAGTGCAATATAGACAAAGTTGTTGTGGGGATATGCGAATCCGCAGATAAACCGGAAAAGAAAACAAAAGAGGAAAACGAATTGATTGAAGTAACCTGCGGTGGTGGTAGTGGTGGTAGTAGTAGTAGTAACAACAACAGCGTCAAAGAAAACGAAAACGATTCTAGTCAAAATGATAAGAAAAATAATAATACTTTGCAAAAATCAAAATCTAAAAAAAAGAAATCGAAAGATCGTAAGAAAAAGGAAAAAAAAGTAAGAACGCCTTTCGAACGTTTCGAACCTTTGAAAGTCGTACACGCGGAAAAATACATACATCCGACGAGCGTCGAACCTAAAATCAAAACGGAAAATGAAAATAAATCATCATCTCAGGTTAAATTGAATCAATCGGGAAATAATCAATTTAAAGCTTTCGTACCTAACAGACGATGTTTGAGCACTCAATCCAACGATTCAACGGGATCTTATTTGGTCAAATCCCTGTCGAAAAAAAATATTCAAACGAATGATGGCGGCGTCAAATTGCTAGAAGAAGAAATCAGCAGCAGGTTTTCGAACGAGGGAAACAAGGAAAACTGTTTGAAAAACGCGTCGAATGTTAACGTTAACGATAATATCGATAAAATCAATTCGAGAATCGAAATAAAAAAAGAGATAATCGATTCGGCGTTCGAGTTTGTTAAAACGTGGGAAGAAGTTAAAAAATTCGATCCCTCCTACTCCAAACGAGCGGAAATAATACGTTTGATAAAACCTGGAGATTTAGGAAAAGGTAACTATCTCTCTCTCTCTCTCTCTCTCACTCTGTTTCCATGCGACGTTTTGAAATAATAATAATAATGATAATAATTTGTTTGATTACAGTCATCGGTATAAAACTCGATTCGGACATGTTGAGTTCTTTGTTAGAATGCCTGGAAAAACATTTCGTCGAAACCGAGCCGAAAATAGTCGTTGAATTTTTAAAACAGTTACCGGAAATCCCACGTTTTGGTCTCATTAAAATGTTTTTAGCCGAAGCCGATAAAAAAAGTAAGTGGGAGGGGCTTAGGAAGAGGGGGGAGGGAAAAGGGGAAGGGAAACAAATCGTGACGTAACGCCATAATTTTTTTTTTTTTTCTTTGATTTACAGTTTTAAGAAATTTAATTGATGCCGCCGAGGGCAAAGGTTACGTACTCGAAGAAAACGTTAAAAAACAATTGGCATCGACGAGTTGAAAAAAAGAAAATTAAAACAACTAAAAAAAAAAAAAAAGATCTCACATTTGGATTTTCGTACGTCTTTTTCAACAAAAACAAATCAAAAAGGAGATTATTAAGAAGAAGAACAACAAAAGGAAGGAAAAAAAAAACAAAATGGATTCCGTTCATTGTGAAAAAATAAGGAAAAAGGAAAAAATTTGTGCACGGGAAAATTGCACGGATTTAATTTTTTTTACAAACAACGCAAACGCGAAAGAAAAAAAATTATTATTATTATTATTATTTTTTTTTTTTTTTTTGTAATAAAAATGTACTTAGATTTAGAAAAATTATTATTATTATTATTATTATTATTATTATTATTATTATTATTATTACGTTCAATTTTTCATTTTTTTTTTTATAGATATATTATTATTGCTTTTATGTTAATAAAAAAATAAATAAATAAAAATAAATAAATAAATAAATTGGACAGTAGGAAAAGATTAAATATTTATATGAAAATGTTGAGATTTATGTAATAAATTTTAGTGGTGATATAAACACACATACACATACACACGCATACACACACACACACACACACACACATATATATATTGAAGTTTCAAGGATTTAAATTATTTTTTTTCTCTTTTTTTTTTTAAATATATAAATAAATAAATAAAAAAGTACTTATTATAATACTATACATATATAAATACAAACACGGAGATGATAATAAAAAGAAATCGTCGGACTTTACGTTATGATAAAAATAAAAAATAATAAAAAATTATTAAATTGTTTAATTATTATTTTTATCATTATTATTATTATTATTATTATTATTTAAAAATAAAAAATAAAAGAAAAAAAGTTTTTTAATAATTTCTTTTTCATTTTCTTAATCCATTTTTGTAAAGAAAAAAAAATTTTTTCTTTTTTTTTTTTTTGTTTCGGTTTCGGTAAAAATTAATTGTATTGTTATCATTATTATTATTCTAATTATTATTGTTATTATTATTATTATTAATATTAAAGTTTTAATGAATGGATAAAAATATTAAATAAATAAATAGAGTTAATATAGAGAATTTAAAATAATGAGAGGAAGAGAAAGATAGAAGTAAATAAATAAATTTTTATTAATTATTAATATTATTATTATTATTATTATTATTGTTATTATTATTATTAATAAAATTATTTTTCGTACAAAATAAAAAAAAAAATAATAATAATAAAAATCTAACAAGGAAAACAATTTTTTTTTTTTTCGTTTTATAGTCGTATTTGTTTATTATACTAAATTTTATTATTATTATTAAATATCTAAAATAAATAAATAAAAAATATAATTAATATTAATTATAATTAATATTGCTTTTCGATTTATTTTATTTTATTTATTTATTATAGTTAAAAATAAAATTGAAATGAAAATTTTTAATGCGAGGAAAAAATGGTTGGTAGAATTTTCGGGGTGGGAAGGGGAAGGGGGAAGGGGAGATGGGGGGCGCTAAAATAAGGGATGGAATGGAAAAGGGTTTAGGCAAAGAAGAATAAAAAAAACCGCTAAAATTTCTTCTATTTTTACTACCTTTTTTTTTTTTTTTTTTAATTTTACTTTTTTATTAAAAAAAAAAAAAAAAAAAAAAAAAAAAAAAAAGATGAATGAATAACCGTTACAAAAATATCTAAATATCGCTAAAGTCTTCCTTCGATTCTAAAATTTTTTTTTTATTTAATTTTTTTATTGCTTTTTTTTTGAGCTATAAAAAAATAACTACAAATAATAATAATAATAATAATAATAATAATAATAATAAAATAGAAACGAAAGGTGTTTTGTTTGTTTGTCTTCATTTGTAATTTAATTTTCAATTTTATTCATCGTTATCATTATCATTAATATTATTGTTTTGAATTTTGTGCGTCGTCGGTTGTCGTTGTCGTCTGTTAACTTTTCTTTTTTTCCTAATAATAATGATAATACCGATAAGCGTAAAACACACAAACATGATCTATTCGTATATCTTTAATCTCTATGTAACAAAATATCAAGTTAACAAATTTTTTCGTTTGTTCGTTTGTTTGTTTGTTTAATTAAAAATATATGTTAACTACTGCGGCGGACATCGAATGACCGTCGACGTTTGTATTTCTGCAAATTGTTTGTCTATCGGTATTCTATCGTCGTATAATGTCGGAGCTTGTAAAATAATTCCAGCCGTACCAACTAAAACGGCGAGTGTGAAAATCCAAAGGAACAGTCTATCCAAAACCATTGCCACGTATTTCCAATCTTCTTTGACCTTAAAACCAAATTTTTATTTATTAATTCGATTATCGATCGAATCGATAGATCGATCGATCGATCGATCGTGTTTACCTTTGTCGAATCTTCCAACATTTTTGTATGTTCGGCAATGAAACGAACGCAAAAACAACTTTTGTGTATTTCTGAAGGGCACATAGAATGTGAAAAGGCAGGATTTTTAATTGTTGGACTTTTTATTTCTTCACCATCGCTGAGTCCTCCAACGTCACCCCCACCATCATCACCCCCACCACCACCACCACCACCGCAACCATTACCCGATAATGATAATTCTTCTGTTTCTGATTGTGGTGGTCCGTGTATTTGACAACTTCCGCCAAAAACTGGTCCCCCATCGATTAAACTTTTACAAAATAAAATAAAATTATTAATATTTTCTAATAATAATAATGATAATATTTTTAAAATGATTTTTTCACTTCCGGTTTTTAAAAAAGGAAGTAAAAAAAAAATTTTATATAGTTCTAGAAATTTCTTTTGATGTAATCGAAAGCCAAAACTGTTTTTTTTTTTTAACTTTTAAGAAAATTAAATTTTTTTAACAAATCGATGGTAACTTTTTTTTGCAAATAAAATCGCAATAATAAAAATTATTATTATTATTATCATTATTATTATTATTATTATTATTATTATTATTATTATTATTATTATTATTATTATTATTATTATTATTATTATTATTATTTGATTTAATACGTAGGAAATGACGTCATATTTAATTAAATAAATGTTTGGAAAATAAAATAAAATAAAAAAATTCAAAAAACGAGAAAAAAAAAGTTTTAGTTAAAGTTTTCCGATTTTCTTTACCAAAAAAAAAAAAAAAAAAAAAAAAAGTTGGCAACACTGATGATTGATATTAAAAAATTTGAAAAAAAATTATATCGAAACGAATGAATTAATTAAATAAATTATGTTTGTTTGTGTGTTTGTTAAAAAAAAATTTTTTTTTTTTTCTGTTATTGTATGAAAAATAAAATCGACCGCAACCTTTTCCATCCTTTTCGATATTTATCCCTTTTTTTTTATCCTTTTTTTTTTTTTTTTATCTTTCCTACTCTTCCTACTTTTTTTTTAAAGGATGTGACAAGAATCCATTATTCATATAGTCACCCATACAATATAAATCATAAAGGAAGAGACAAGAGAACAAACTCTCTCACACTCTCTCTATCTCTCTCTCTCTCTCTCTCTCTCTGTCTCACTTCCTTTTGACTTAACGTCGTTATAAATTTATTTTCGCGTATTAAAACCTTTTGAATAATTTCAAATATTTTTTTTCTTCTTATCAATATCAAAACCTTTTTTTTGGAAAGGTTTTATCGAAACAAAAAAAAAAAAAAACTTTTTTAAACGCATAAATATTATATATAAAAAATTTTCCGAAAGAAAAGAAAAAGAAAAACTTTTTTTATTTATTTATTTAAACAATTTTTTTTTCCGATTGATTTAAGATTTAAAAAAAAAAAAAATAAATAAATAACTAACCTTTCTGGAGAAAAATCTTCCTTTGAAAGTGTCCTTTGTCTTGTAACTGTACTTATTGTATCGGATATTTTTGATTCTTCCGTCGATGCTGTTGTTTGATATGGATACGGACAATAAGAAGATTGTACTTCTTTACCTTTAACCGTATGTACAACAACTCTTCTAGACATGAACCTAATAAATAAAATAATTTTTTCTTTTTTAATTTTTTAATTTTTTTTTTTTGTTCGAAAATAAAATTTAATAATAATAATGAATTGTTAAATTTAAATAATTTGCATACGTCAACACGGAATAATAATAATAATAATAATAATAATAATAATAATAATAATAATAATAATAATAATAATAATAAAACTCACCCGTATGAAATTCCTAAAGAAAAAAAAAAGGAAAGAAAAAGAAAAGGAGGAAGAAAAACTTTTTAACTTTATATTACGTAATCTTTTTATTGAATAGAAGAGAAAAATTCCAGATTTTTCCTTTTTTTTTTTTTCTTTCTTTTTAACACCAAAAGCAATATCGTTCAAAATGAAACTTTAGAGATGTGTACACAAAAAAAGAAAAGAAAAGAAAAGCACGTTTTAAAAAAAAAAAAAGAGAAAGAGAAAGAAAGAAAGAGAGAGAGAGAGAGAGAGAGATTGAATAAATGTAGCGAAAACAAAATCGGTTTAAAAGAGAAAAAAAAGGTTACGGAGGAAGGGGATGGGGTTGGAGGTAGGGGGAGGGGTTTAACAAAAAAAAAATTTAATTTATTTATAAAAATTTGTACATGCATATACCTGTGCGGTTCGAATTGATATTGTGGCCTCCTCATAACTAAAAGTCTTGGAAGTATGTGAATGAAAACACGTTTAACCCAAGGCGCCATTTTATGTGTTTGAGGTGACCGGAAATGAACGTTAAGAACGACGACGGTAACGCATATGCTAGAAAAAATTATTAAATTCATTGAACCCGCTAAATAAAAAATTTCTTTTAACGAATTTTAAACTTTTTATTTAATAATAACAATAATAATAATAATAATAATAATAATAATAAATTGATTTTAAAAATAAAAAATTTTTAACACGAACTAACGCACATCCATGTTTTCTTTTTTCTTTTTTTTCTTTCTACATCGAACGTTTTTAGAATGTAAAAATAATTTTTTTAAAAATAAAACCGTTCGTTTTTTTTATTTTACTCTTTCCCCCCCCCCCACAAAAAAATTACTATTATTATTATTATTATTATTATTATTATTATTATTATTATTATTATTATTATTATTATTATTGTGAGGGATTTTTATTTATTTTAATTTAAAATTTTTTTTTTTTTTTTTGAAATCTGTCGTAGTAAATTAATAATAAAAGGGAGAAGGGGGGGATCTGAAATTCCCCCAAATGTATCTTTTTTTAATTTAAAAACTTTTTAAGGTTCATCATCGGATATTTCCTGTTTTATTTCGAGGAAAAAGGAAAAAAGGACGTTTAAAATCCATACGATTAACTTTTTGAAAGTTAAAATTAAAAAAAAAAAGGAAAATGACAAAAAAAAAAAATTAAAAAGGAAAATTTATTTTGTTAAGAAAAAAAAAAGGAAAAAAATTATATTAAAAAAAAAAAGTTTTTTTTTTTGACGTTTATTTTACGTTAAATACAAAAAAAAACGGAAAGACGAGGAAACGGAGGAACGAGGAGTAGGGGAAGGAAAGGGAAAGAACTTTTATATTGTCGGAAAACAAAATTAATGTAATAATAGTAATAATAATAATAAACGGTGACGACGACGACGACGAAAAAGAAAATTTTTTAAAATAATTAATCTTTTTATTATCAATGAATATCCTTCTTCCTTTTTTTTTTTTTTTTTACCTTTGAATAAATTCCTTTGAAAAGGATTTTAACCAGTAACCAACCGCAAAATTCAACCTTAAACAATATTCATTACACACAAAAAAGAAAAAACGTAAAAAAAAACTTTTTTTTTTTTTTTGTAATTTTAACGCCAATTTAAAATTTTAATTTTTTTTCTTCCCCTTCCCCTTCATCTCCTCCTCCTTCTTTTTTTTTTTTATTATCCTTTTAAAAAAAATTTTCCTCTTCCGTTATTATTATTGTTATTTTACCCGTCGTAGTCAGAGTGTGTGATATTATTTAAAAGGAAAAAAAAAACGATTTTGCAGATTAGAAAACCTCTAATAAATATAGACTATAAAAAATTTATAGTTTATTTTTTAATTTTTTTACTAGAAAATAATTTTAAGGGGAGGAGAGTGGGGATGGGGGACGGAGGAAAAGGTGAAATGGCGGAAAATATTAAAAATTTTTCAGCTTGAGTGTGGTTAAGTATTTTTTTTTTTTTTAAATAGAAAATTCAATTTTGGTATTATTATTATTATTATTATAATACTCGATATTTTCAAGTGAGGGAAATGATAAGGGAAATGAATGAATAAATGAATGAATGAAAGAATGAACGAACGAACGAACGAATAGAAAGTTTAAGTTTTTTTTTTTTTTTGGTTAAAAAAAATTTATTAAAATTAAAAAAAAAAAAAAATATATATATATAAATAAATTTTTTGCGCCATTTTTAATAAGTTTTACTTTCCTTTCCCCTCCCCCTCCCCTTTCCCCTCCTATTTTTTTTTTATTCGCGGAAACAAAAAAAAAAATTATTTACGCGTTTGGAATATAGTTTTGTTTTGTTTTTCGGAATTCGAAATCATCAAATCGTTTAAAAATATTTAAAAAAAAAACATAAAATGTTATTATCAATTATCACCTGAGACGTTACGAAAAGAAAAGTTCATCGACCTCGAGGTCGATAAAAACTTTTTTTTCCGGTTTTCCGTAAAACTCCCGACGACACGAGATAAATTTTTTTGCAGAAAACAACACTTCCTTCCTTTCTCTCTCACTCCCACCTCCCACTCCCATCACCTTTCACTTCCCATTACCTCCCACTCCCCGCCCCCCGAAAAAAAAATAAAAGAAATAAATCTTTGCTTACCTTATGGAAACTAAAATCATGGCAAATATTAAATATTTTCCCAGAAGAGGTACGACGAGTGACGTAGGAGGTATAATTTCGACGACTAGTAAAAAAAACACGTGAAGGCTAATGAGTATCGATATAGACAACGTCACCTGTTAATTAAAAACATATATATAATTAATAATAAAATTGATAACGTTGATAAGAATTTTTCCATGTGTACTACTTACTTTTTCACCGCTGTCGGACGGTAAGTAGAATGTTAAAACGGTTAAAAATGAAATTCCCATGCAGGGTATTATTATGTTAACCGTGTAAAATAATGTTTTACGTCTCATGGTTATGTTGAACGTGATATCAAGGTACGGTTCGTCGCAACACGTATAAAATTTTTCGTTTCTAAAAATCAAAAATATATATTTATTTATTTATTTAAAAAAAACACGTTCGCTTTATCTACATAAAAAAAATAAGAATAAGATGAAGGAGAAAAAAAAAAGGAAAAACCGACGTAAACATAAAATACATTATTTAAATTTTCCAGGTTTTTTCCCCTTTTTACATCAGGAGAGAGAAAAAAAAGAAGAGAAACCTGGAAAATTTATAATGGTGTGAAGTAAAAAAAAAAAAAAAACCTTACTGGAAAAGATTTTTTTTTTTTTTTTTTCTAAATGTTTATGTTTTTTAAAACCTTTGAATAATGTTTTTAAATAAATTGGAATAAAAATGTTTATGTTTATGTTGTGTGACGCACATGTAAAACTTATAGATAATGTTTATAAACATAAAAAATTCAACGGGGGGGGGGAAATCGAAATAATTTTATTTCCGTTATCAACTTTCTACCAGAATATAAATAATAAATAGTGGTAAACATCCATCAAATATGATGTATTATTATTATTATTATTATTAGTTTTTTCTAGTGGGAAAATATCGGACCCCCATTTTTTTTTTTAAATTTAAAGTCGTGATGATGGTTATAAAAGGACGGCTGGGAATTTAATAGTTTTAATGTAAATAGTTTGTTTTTTTTTTTTGTTATTTCCTTTGAGCAATGGAAACTACAATACTACGAGATACTAAACAAAAACTACTTTTACTACTAAACTACGACTACAATAAGAAAAAAAAAGAAAAATTACCTGACGGCAGGTACTTCTAGTATATCCCATTCGACAGACATGTAAAATTCCGAAAGATCGACGCCAACTTCGACAACGTTCGAACCTGCTTTTTCATCCATGTGACGTAAATCGACCTACGTTAAATTATTATTATTATTATTAAATTTTATCATCAATGTTATCATATTACATCATCATTAATAATAATAAATAAAAATATTAAAAATAATTATGCGATCGAGTGAAATAAAAAAGAAGAGGAAAAATAGTATTCAAGCCTCTGTGCAATTTAACAAAAAAAAAAATTTTTTTTAACTACAACATAAACAACAACAACCACAACATTACGACGATTATGTTTAATCGTTTGTACACTACAATCAATTACAATCGTTACGATGTAAATTGAGATAAAAATAATTACAAAATGAATATAAAAAAAAAACAATATACAATAAAAAAAAAAAATTTTTTTCATTAAATTGTAGTGATGATTGATTTTCCACTTTTCCCACTTCACTTCCCGCCCCCCGCTCCCGCCCCACTCTCTTCTCCCCTACAATTCACTACAATTTATTATCACATTACAAATTTTTTAAAAAGTTTAAAAAAAAAAGTTAATAATTTTTTTCGAAATGCATTATTCGAATACAGTCGATAAAATTAATTAAATAACAATTTTTTTTGTTTTGTTTTTTTTTACAATTTAAATTTATTATTATTATTATTATTATTATTATTATTATTATTATTGTTATCATTAACAGTGATAACAGTCTAATAATAATTATAATTTAACGTGTTTTTATTAATTAAAAAAAATTTTTATTTACGTGACTGTTATCCATTAGGAAAATAATAGTAATAATTATTTTTTTACATTGAGAAATTAAAAAAAAAAAAAACGTTTTTCTAATGACACGATAATATAAATTTTCTTTTTTTCTCTCTGTTAAATAATAATAATAATAATAATAATAATAATAATAATAGTACAATTATTTAATTCGCAGGGAATTTTGTTATTTATTTTTTTTTTGCATGTTTCCGGTTAATGAGTTTGAAATTGAAATGTTTTTCATTTCCATTGTGTTGTTGCTCTCCCCCCCTCTCTTCCTCCCCCCTAATTTTTTTTTTCCTTTGATTCTTTTTTTTTTTTAATTAAAAAAGCTGACTTTTTTTTTAAATATTTAAATTCCTGTCGCCATGTTTGAATTTTTTTTTTTTTTTAAATCGGTACAATTATTATAACAAATTGAAAAAAAAAAAAACGTTAATCTCACTTTCTCTCTCTCTCTCTCTCTCTCTCTTTCTCTTTCACTCTCATTTGAAATTTTCCTTTGAATCCTTTTAAATTAAAAAAAAAAAAAAAAAATGGGATTTCGTGTACGATTTAAATTTTTTTTTTAAAAAGGAAAAAATTTAAATGGAAATTTTTATATGTTTTATCACCTAATAATAATAATAATAATAATAATAATAATTTTTTTTTTCGTTTGTTTTTGTTGTTTATCTTCTTCTTCTTCTATCTTCAATCATTTTTTCTTCTTTTCTTCTGAATATCTTCTGCTTTTTCCTTCCGGTTATTTCTGACGATGAAAACTTGAAGGTCGTTTAAAATTTTCTTCTTTTCACAGTAAAAAAAAAAAACAAAATACAAAAGTTGTTTTTAACTAAATTATAAATATTATTTACAATTAATAATGATAATAATAATTTTTTCACACATACGACAAAAAACAAACAAACAAACAAACAAACCAACCAAAATCTCATTTGTGTGTGTGATTGTTTGTCGTGCTTTAAAATCTTCGGTTAACCGCAATACGTGTTAATTATGCGTTTTTTGAAATTTTTTTTCTTTTTCTTTTTTTTAATTTTTTTCACGCACAAACACGCACACACGCATTCGGGTTCACTGTCAAATAATAATAATAAATTATTACAGTAATAATAATAATAAATCAAATTTTTTATCGGTATAAAATTCTTTTTTTTTTTATTTATAAAAAATCGAAAAATTTTTAATTAAAATTATTTACGCATCGCTACGCACATTCGTTTTGACGTGTCAATAATAAAGAAAAAAGTTTTAAAACAAATACGGGCGCGCTTGTGTTTGATTTGGATGAATCGATAAATTAAAAAACACACGCGGAAAAAAAAAAGAAAATGTTATCATCGTTATCAAAAATTTTTTTTGTTAAAAACAGATGGTAAAAATAATTTTCGGCAACAGCAGCAACAGCAGCAGCAGCCGGAGAAGGAGCATAAAACAATTTTTGTTCCTTCTTTAAACGGTTATTTAACCTTTAACCTTTTTATTTCGGAGGTAAAAGAATGTAAAAAAAAAAAAAAGGAAAAATATGATGATTTAAATTAATCTGTTCGAATTTATAATAATAATAATAATAATAATAATAATAATAATAATAATAATAATAATAATAATAATAAATAATTGTGGGATTTAAATAACGGGCTTTGAATTTATATAAAAAAAAAAAGTGAAAAGAAAAAAAAAAGAAAACAACAACAAACAACTTCATCATGGCTGAAAACAAGAGCAATAAAAGAAAATGTGAAAAATTTACAACATTTTTTTAAATTACATTTGTTTATTGCTTCCTTTTTCTTTTCTTTTCTTTTCTTTTTCATTCTCTTTCCATTTTGTTTTTATTCCTTTTTCTTTCCTCCCCCCTCCCTCTCCCCCCCTTTTTTTTTCCTTTGAAACCTTTCGATAGCAGCTCGACGATAAACCGCATGTACGAGCTATGAAAAGAATCGAAAAGTTTTTTTTTTTTTTTAATTTTAATTTTTTTCTTTTTGTTTTTTTTTTTTCGTTACGCTATTTACACGTCAAAACGAATCGGTCGTGAATAAAAACAAAAAATAATAATAATGATAATAATAATAATTAATTTTTACAACGAAAACAAAAAAAAATGAAAAGTTTTTTAAAGTTTTTTTTTTTTTCATTTTTTTCATTTTTTTTTTTATTAAAAACAACAAATCGGAAAAATCTTTACCCCCCACTTTTCCCCAAAGCCCTTCCTCTCTTCCTCCCCCTCCGTTTTTTTTTTTAATTTACGACGTGAATAAATAAAAATAAAAAAAATAGGGGGAAATGCGCGGCGGGACTCGTAGAAGAAATTATTAATTATTTTTTAACGTTTGATTTATTTTTTTTATTTTGATTTTATCCGGAAATGATTTTTCCTTTTTTTATTGTTTTCGCCGCCATTTTGTAAAAACTAATCAGAGTTAAAAACTTTTGAGCATCTGCTTGTAATCAATGAAAGAAAATAAAAGAAAAGAAAAAAAAGGAAAAAGAGAAAATAAAAATTTTTTTTCCCTCTTTCTTTTCTCCTCCGTCCTTTCTTCTTTTTATTCCTTCCCGATTATTATTATTATTATTTTGCAATTAATAAACAAAAGAAATAAAAAAATTTGAAAATAAAATATTATTAATAATATTTACATACGCGAAAATGGATTAACGGGAATTAAAAAAATTTTGTGGGAAAAACCGAAAAAAAAAATTCGGAAAATTTTTTTCTCAGGAAAATTCGAAACATTTTATGCGGTATTCGAGAAAAAAAAAAGATTTAAAAAGTACTCGGGGAAAAAAAAAGAATAAAAGAATGAAAAAAAAAGAAAGGTTTATTAGAGTTTATTGTTCCAGTAAACTCCATTAAAAAAAAAAAAAAAATGAAATGGAAAACGTTTCCAGGAGAACTTTCAATGGCCGACATTAAAAAAAAAAATTTTTATTTCTTCAAACGAATCAATTTTTTTTTTATTGAACAAATTTCACGATGATGATAATAATAATAATATGTGATGAAGTATAAATTTTTAAAGCAAACAATAAAACCATTTAATCAATTGCAAATAGAAAATGATTGATTGATTGATTGACCAATAGAATTCATTGTAATCTAGAAAATTTTTTTCATTTTGTTTTTCATTTCAACTGGAGAAAATGAAAAAAAAATTTTCCAGAATCCTTCATAAAAATTTTTTAAATTCATTGTCAAGGTTATATTTTAAATTAAATTTAAAATAAAAAAGAAAAACTAATTAACGTGCCCCCCGGCCCCTCAAAAGGAAAATTCCATGGCCTCCCCTACCCTTTAAATTTTTCTTTTTTTTTTTTTCAAACCGAAAAATGAGGTAAAAAAAAAAAAAGGTGAAATGAAAAATTTAAGATGAAAAAACATTGCGGAAAAAGGTGGGGAGGGAAAGGAAAACCGACGGCGGTGAAGAAGAGGAAAGGGGGAGGGGAAGGGGGGACAGAAAAAAAGGGAGCGAAAAGAAGATTTTTAACTTGTTAATTGCTTAAATTTAATTTAACTAAAGAAAACATTTTTAATTAAATATTTAATTTCACGTTTCTTTTTTTTTTACTTTCGTTTATTTATTTATTTACCTTTTTTTTTTCTATTCTGGAAAGTTCGAAAGTTCAACAGAAAAAAAAAAAAACATTTTTATTAAATAAAAAATTTTTTATCCAGATTTGATCGGATTAAAATTTAGTTTTTTTTTTTATCCTCCTAAAAAACAAGAAAAATTAATTTGGATTTTTTTTTTCAAATAAAATTTAAAAAAAAAACAAACGTTTCGGGATAAAATGCGGCGTTTTACCCCAAATTATTAACGGATCAGGTGTCCCCGAATCATAAAATTAATAAAAAAAAAAAAGATTTAAAAAATTTGACGAAATGTTGTCGTTTATCAATTTTTTCCCCAAGCCATAAGTTAAACATTAAAAAAAAAAAAATTTCCCACACTTTTTCTTATTAATTTAAAGTATTTAATATTTGAATAAGTTTGTTTTGTTTGTTTTCAAATGAATTATACCCCAATTTTTTCTATTCTTAAAGTGTTACCCCTTTTCTTTTACTTTCAGAATTTTCCGGTTTTATCGTCCCTTTTCCTATTTTATAACATTTGAAATTTCAACAAAGAATTTACGCCATTTCATCTTTTCCCCCTCTCTTTTTTCTTTCTCTCTCCTTCAATCTTTTATTATTTCATTTTCGTGGCTCTCACCGTTAAAAAAAAAGTTAAAAAAAAAGAGTCTTAATGGATCATACGTCACTCTTAATCAGATTATATTTAATCCGGAAAA